TTTTTTTCCCCCTTTCCCCTCCCCCCCCCCCCCGGTCTTCTGTTAAGTTTCTCAGGATCCACATATGAGTGAAAACAAATGGTATCTGTCTTTCTCTGCCTGACTTATTTCAGTTAGCATAACACTCTCCAGTTCCATCCACGTTGCTACAAAAGGCCAGATTTCATTCTTTCTCATTGCCAAGTAGTATTCCATTGTATGTATAAACCACATCTTCTTTATCCATTAGTCAGTTGATGAACATTTAGGCCCTTTCCATAATTTGGCTAATGTTGAACATTGGGGTACAAGTGCCCTTATGCCTCAGCACTCCTGTATCCCTTGGGTAAATTCCTAGCATGCTATTGCTGGGTCATAGGGTAGATCTATTTTTCATTTTTTGAGCAACTTCCACATCTTTCCAGAGCAGCTGCACCAGTTTGCATTCCCACCAGCAGTGCAAGAGGGTTCCCGTTTCTCCACATCCTCTCCAGCATCTATAGTCTCCTGATTTGTTCATTTTAGCCACTCTGACCAGCGTGAGGTGGTATCTCAGTGTGGTTTTGATCTGTATTTCCCTGGTGAGGAGTGACATTGAGCATCTTTTCATGTGCCTGTTGGCCATCTAGGTATCTTCTTTATAAAAGTGTCTATTCATGTCTTCTGCCCATTTCTTCACTGGATTGTTTTTCGGGTGTGGAGTTTGGTGACTTTATAGATTTTGGATACTAGCCCTTTTATCTGATATACCAACCAGGTGGCCATGGCTCTGCCTTTGTAAATAGGTGACTTCCAAGGTTGCTCTAGCTCCCTAATAGTGGAAGTCCAGGGACAGAGACATCCCCTTAAGAAAGTACAATGGAAGTGCTATTCACATTGTTGGAGAGAGCTTAACCATTTCTAGTTATTTTTTCCCCAGGTTCTTGGGGGCCTTGCTGTCATTCTAACAAGAGTGATCACTTACAAATACATACTCAATTTTTCATGTCTTCTATCTAATCTTTAAATTTATTTAATGTTTATTTATTTTTGAGAGAGAGACAAGAGACAGAGTGCAAGCGGGGGAGGGGCAGAGAGAGAGAGAGAGAGAGAGAGAGAGACATAGAATCCGAAGCAGGCTCCAGGCTCTGAGCTGTCAGCACAGAGCCTGATGCAGGGCTTGAACTCACAGACCGCAAGATCATGACCTGAGCCGAAGTCAGTGCTCAACCGAGTTACCCAGGCGTCCTCTAATCT